CCCAATAAAACCAGTGCACAGCAAACACCAAAAATATCTAGGTGTAGACATCTGCATTATCACGTTAACTGTTTATATAATAATATAGATATAAGAGCATTTAACACACTCTTTTAAAAATTAATAATAATAATCAATGCTCTAAAAGAGATCAAACCGGAGGTTCTTGTTCTGTTAAAATTTAGTAAAAGTCAAATCTCTGTGGGCAAGTGTAAAATGTTACTCAGTTGCCCAGTTTTCCTAGGAATCAATCTCATGTTCCTCCCCGCCCCTCCAAATCCATTTTCATGTATATGTGATAGCAGTAAGGCTCGGAATTTTCTCACAAATTCGCTCGTAAATCGAAGTCTTGTCAAGCTGATATCATCTAGTTCACTGCATTTTTTGAATAAAAAAAGTTACAGGCTTTCTGTATATTTAAATGAAAATCCAGCCAAAGTTAAGCCCCTTTTAGCCCCATTGATTTAAATGAAAACAAAATCCAAATATATGCTGATCTCCACAGAAATAAATGGGACTTAAAAGTGTTTGACTTTAGCCGAATTCTTCCTCCCTTCCTTTCCACTTCTACCTTGATTTCCTTTCAGTTAAAATTAAGGCAAGTTGCAAATACCTAAAAGGCTAATAAAAACAACAGCTGTAAAAAAAAAAAAGTATATACATAATGTTAATAATTCAAACTCTGTCTCAAAGGCCTGTTTAAATAAAAAAATGGTTTAGACCTGCCTGGGAGTAAACGCCCTCCTCTGAACTCAGTGGGACTTACTTCTGAGCAAACATGCATAGAATTGCACTCCAGGGCTGGAATCCTATTGGGGGTGAGGTTTGAGGTTTCAGAATGCCAAATCCATGGCAGGCTTTCTTTTAGAAAGAAGCATCTCATTCTTTGCAATTTCTTTTTCTTTCTTTTTTTAAAGGCCCATTGATTTGAAACGGGACATTGGCACCACTAAGTTTTGTTGGGCCAGGGCCAAACTCTCCAATAAAATGAGTTTGTTTGCTGAAATCGTGGCAATAATCTGGGCTACATGTGGCATGCCATGGGACAAGAGCAACACACACACACACACACACACACACACACACACACAAAAGGCCCAAAGCAGGACATTTATGGTGGATTAAGACAATCCCACCCCTCTGCAGTAACTGAGATTGTCCCGAGAGCACCAGCTATAAGGGTTTGGGTTTTTTTGCATTGGGTGGTGCCTACAAATGGGCAAGTGACCCTCCTTGACTTTGTATGCAGCGCATTGGAGGGAAATGCTTAGCTTCTGGGGGAAGCCTCCTGAATCGACCTTGAAAAATGGAACATAGCAAAAACAGATAGTTGACAAAAATGTGGGACAAAAGGAACATGGCTGACATATCTCTTTGCTTTTTGAGGGATAGGGGAACCTCTGGACCTGGCTGCAGATGCACCCTTTTCTTGCCTGAGACCTGAGTAAAGCTTTATTAGATTCATTTTATGGTGTTTCTGTAATCACTTACATCAACACAAATCTCAAAGTAGTGTACAAAGGTGAAAACAAGCAAACAGATTAAAAGCCATTTAAAAGAGAAACACCAAATCACAAGGAACATGGAAAGATAGAGAGCTACTAACCAGGAAAAGACTAAGGAAACTGAAATGTTTCTGCTAAAGGATGGAACCACCCAACCATTGGCGCCTTATTCATTACTGGACAGGTGAATTCTACATAATCCTAGTTATAGATGAAGCAATGGGTGGGGGGTTTAAAGTGCTTTTTGTTTCATTAATTAGAGAGGTTATATGATACAAAGCCTGTTCATTGGGCATTCTTCCTGAATTGTTTAGATGAGGTTTGTAGGGAGATTAGAAGACATTGTCTTTGTATGGAGTTATTTGTTCTGAACTGTTTGCAGGAGGGTTAGATAGTGTGCTCTGTCACTCTCCTTATTGCAAAAAGTCTGATTTTGGGCAGAAGCCAGCTTGTTTTGCAAGACCAAAATCAATTTGCCCTCTGCCTTTGTGTCTCACTACTCTTAAGAAGCTACCTTTGGAACAGCCTTCATGTAAAATGGTTATGAAGGATGTCATTCACTACGTTACCCAGTGTCCTCTATGTAAAAATCCTCATGAAAAATATCTGGGTTTTGCCACATAATTCCCCCCCCCCCCCACACCAAGTGAGTTTGTGTGCTTTTTGCTGCCGTGCGTTAAAAATGGCTTAGCACCTTGCACAAATGGGACGCGGGTGGCGCTGTGGGTTAAACCACAAAGCCTAGGACTTGCCAATCAGAAGGTCGGCGGTTCGAACCCACGCAACGGGGTGAGCTCCCGTTGCTTGGTCCCTGCTCCTGCCAACCTAGCAGTTCAAAAGCACGTCAAAGTGCAAGGAGATAAATAGGTACCGCTCCGGCGGGAAGGTAAACGGCGTTTCCGTGCGCTGCTCTGGTTTGCCAGAAGCGGCTTAGTCATGTTGGCCACATGACCCGGAAGCTGTATGCTGGCTCCCTCGGCCAATAAAGCGAGATAAGTGCCGCAACCCCAGAGTTGGTCACGACTGGACCTAATGGTCAGGGGTCCCTTTTTACCTTTACCTTGCACAAGTGGAGCTGCTGCTGGAGAAACAGAAAGAGGAAACTTTCAAGAACACAGAAAGGTTTTGAAAGCCACGTTCCCTCTTAAATTGTTTCTGGCAGAAACAAAAGGTAACAGACAAATGGGCGAGGAAACCTTTTTGGAAAGGGAATCTATACTTTCCCACTCCATGTGCTCCAAGCCCCCTCCCACGTCTTCTTCACCCCCCTCCTGGAAACCCACCTATTTCTCGGTGCTCTCCAGCTACAGTGACCACACGCCAATCTCTGGTCATACTGTGTTTGTTCTGCATTGTATGGTTCTGTTGTGTATCGGCTGTGCCTTTTGACTGCATTCTCCTTGGGGCAGGGGCCTGCTATTTGACAGGCACACTTTGCCTGCTGTGCAGTGCCGTGCGCGCCAGCACTGCATGAATAAAAATAAAAATAATAAATAGAATGCCTTTCTTTTTAAAGTCTGAGGTGGCAAAATAAAACGCTTAACATTTACAAGCTTACACCTAAGCTTTATTTGCTCTGTGTTTGTTTGTTTTTTAATTGCCATATTGCTGGTCTTGTGGGTATTATTAAGGTGTACAGTCGTACCTCAGAAGTCGAAGAGAATCCCTTCCGGAAGTTCGTTCGACTTCCGAAATGTTCGACTTCCAAAGCGCAGCTTCTGATTAGCTGCAGGAAGCTCCTGCAGCCAATCGGAAGCCACTGAAGCACCGTCGGATATCCGGCTTCCAAAAGAATGTTCGAAAACCAGAACAATCACTTCCAGTTTTCAAGCATTCAGGAGCCAGAACGTTCAACTCCCAAGGCATTTGGGAACCGGGGTATGACTGTACTGAGATGTGTGTGTTTTAGGACCCACCCTATTCCTGCGATTTGCTTTAACTCTTTTAATCCTGGATTTTAAATGGTTGTAACCTGCCCTGGGACCTGCTGATGATCATCACCCTACTATGCACATCTACTCAGAAGTAAGCCCCACTGACTTCAATGGAACGTATTTCCAGCTGAATGTGTACGTAGGATTTGAGCATTTGTACCTTACTACAGTTTTGACAATCCTAAATATTTCTGGCTCAAAGATGAAGGGGGATAAGAAAGAAGACAATCAGTGCACCTGTATGCTTTCCTAAGAGCAGCCACTTTCTTTCCTTTAGCCCTGAGTAGCTCTCCAGCTTGTGACAAACAGGGCACTCTTTTTCCATGAGCAAAAGCTGCAGTTTTGCTTGCCACCCTGTACTGAAGAATTTTGCCGTGGCCTTCCAAACTGCATGCTGCGAGGCACGTCAGTTTCAGCTCGTTGGAGGGAAAGTCTTCTTGCAAATGCAGGAAAACTAACTAGCAGCACAATCATATGCATGTAGACTCAGAAGTAAGCCACATTTATTAAGGAGATGTTTTTGTTTTTTTTAAAGAAAAACATTGTGAAGCCCTGCTGGATCAAAGCAATGGTCCATCTGGACCAGAGCAAAGGTTCATTTAGTCCAGCATTGCTATTTTCCTTATTAATCAGTTGCCTCTTGGGATATGTACAAGCACAGCATGAAGACATTAGCCTTCTCCTGTTGCTGCTCCCAAGCAGCTGGTCTTCAGAGGCATGCTGTCTCTGATCCTGGTGGCTGCATACAGCCTTATTGACCAGTAGCCTTTGATAGATTTATCCTCTGTGAATTTGCCTAATCTTTTAAAGCCATCCGATGAAGAGGCAGTCACCACATCCTGAGGCATCACCTGCCTCAAATTTGTTACAAACGTATTCCAATGGAACGTATTCCCAAACAAGTAGGGAAAGGATTGCGCCAGAACTCACTAAACAGACTATCTACAGAGAACATCCAAGAACAGAAGAAAGCGAATTCCTCAAAACCAGGTGCACCAAGCCTGAGTCTTGATCCTCCTTCATATATAAAGCACCTAGATTTTTTTTTGGAAAAGCCATCTTTTCTTATGTCTGCCTAGGATCTTGCTTGGCCTCATCCTTCCTCCAGAAATATAAATGTTCACCATGAAATCTAAAATTTCAAATAATAATAATAATAATAATTTATTATTTATACCCCGCCCATCTGGCTGGGTTTCCCCAGTCACTCTGGGCGGCTGTAGACGTCCCTGCAGATTTTTAAAATATATATTTTTAAAACCCATTGTATCCAATATATTTCTGTCTATCTATATATATATATATATCTTGATGCATTTTTTTAAAATAAAAAGCACAAAAAAAACCACCCCTTGCAATGCAGATGTCTATTAGCAACATATAGGAAAGTATACTAAACATCTGCAGCCAAAATTAACCGAACCGTTTGTTTGTTTTTCCAAAAGAGGAAGCTCTCTCGATAAGCAAGCAGTTACCACCACTGGACAGACAGGGCACAAGACCGCATGACAAGATGATGATGCACCAGCCACTCACTGTAGTAGGGCCCTAAGTCCTACCCCTAAATTTTAACACTCTCGGTTCCATATACGTTGTAACCTTCTCTATAAGTTGCTAAATTCTGGGTATTCTGCGAGGAAGTTGGATTAAAAGTCTGTGCACTCTTTGCCACCTTCATTCTCTTCGCCTCTGCCCTGGATTTGTAACAGAACTCTATCAAAGCCACCAGCATAGCCAGGCCCAGGCCTCCAACCAGAATGTAGAAGACGCCCGCAACATTGCTGAGACTCAGGGCGCTCGTCTTGTCCTGGGGAAACAAAAAGGGGTGTGCGTGTCAGATCAGAGGCGCCAGGCGGCCGGAGAGCAAACAAACAAAACAGTACGGTACAAGTACAGAGGCATAAGCGACGGCTTCATTGAAATACACGGGGAAAGGGAGGAGGGGAAGACAGGCACTGACAAACGTCTTCCGAGATAATTGGCCTGCCCTGGCTTGCAAAACAAACATACGTATATAAGCAAACAGTTTGTTTTTAGAAGCAAAATGCTACGAAAGATTACATGTGCTTAACCAATACTTTCGGATGCAATTAGCCCCTCGGTAATGAACGGCGGTGAAATAGTCTACCACAATTAACCGCAGCGTCAATAAAGCATATCTATCCTCTCTCGACTTGACGTTTAATGGTGGCCTGAACTCGGGGTTGTTAGAGGATCATTAAGTAGCCTAACTGATCTATGGCATGGCTCCTTTTAGGATAAATATGCTCCGATATATTTATTTGGAAAAGAAAACACCAGACCGGTCTTCCAACTGCTGGTTAAATAAAAGGCTAAATGTCCGTTACATTTAAACACTTTTTAAAATTCAGGCAAACAAATTTCCTGTCACAGCTCCCGAGCCTCGTGTAGGATGTGAGCTAGGAGACAAATGAGTCTTTCCTCACGAAGAACAGCCTTCCTACTATACTGTTAAAGGAGAAAGTTGCCTGGTTTGGGAAGGACTTGCAATATGGTGGAGAGGGAGAGGGGCCTGGAGCGTTGGAAATTCAGGGAACAGTCTCGCTGCATCTGCACAAGTCCACAAACAAGCGTAGCAGCATGCTCTGGATCGGGACCACTGGCTTGCCTGGTTCTCTCAGGGTTGTTGTTTAAAGTACTTATTGTTAATATCAGAGGAAGCGGCCTTGTATTGATTCAGACTTGGTCCACCTGGGTCAGTGTTCTGCACTGACTGGCCGTGCTCAGGTGTTTCAGACAGGACTCTCTCTTAGTTCTACCATGGCAGAGATTTAACATGGGATCTTCTGCATGCAAAAGAGATGCTCTGCCAATGAGCTATGACCTCTTCTCACTAAGGGATTGCAGTGCTGATGCGGTAAATTGTTAGATACGTAATTTTTTAAAAATCCATTACGTTTTTAATTTAAGGCATTAATCTTAGTGTTAAGTAAGCATTTCAAATTGGTGGAGGCTTTCCATCCTGTGAGTTCGTGTGGCCACAATTCACTGCCGATTTGAATGAGCGAATGGCATGAACGCGAGACTGCACACTTGACATTTCAGGATTTCAGAAAGATGCATGTAATTGTACATCATAATACTTTAGACTTTTTTAAAAAAGGATTTGACATTATACCGCCCATTGCTATACTCCTAATTAAGCAATTTATGCAGGCATGCATGTAGAAATAAACACTTATTAAAAAATGGGCTGAGAGTAAGACTTAATTTTTTTTATTCTGAGCTATGTGGAATTCGCACACCATGATGAGCGCCGAGTTCAGTTGCTGAAATAGTTTAATTTAAAGATGCATTATTCAATGTTCCAACTAATGGCTGGGCAGGTGTAGGATGAACATCTTCCCATGTTGTTCATGTTGCGCGGGGGTGGGTGGGGGTGGGATGGGCGAGGAACATAACATTTTAATCTGCCTCCAAACTTGTTAGATTTGCAAAACACCGTCAAGAGAGATGGCCTTCCTTTTTAAAATGTGGAGTGGCAGGAGTCAAGTTGACATGGAGGTACTGCCAGATGTTGGTGGGGTGAAGGTCCACCAGACATGATCAGGGTTACAGTATATTAAATATAACACAATGCAATATAATCTGCAGATCTTGCAATCATTTCTAAAACTGATCAACAGGACCATTCTGAACCTAAGTGGTTCAAGTTGGTTAGAGCGTGGTGCTGATAACCCCAAGGCTGCAGGCTTGACCCCTGTATATTCCTGCATTGGACTAGATGATCCTCAGACTCCCTTCTAACTCTACAATTCTATGTAAGTCCATCAACAGAAGACCTTTTAGAAAAGCATGTTCAGTGAGTGCTCCATAACTGAGGTGCTACCATGCCCTTGTATAAACCGGAGCATCTTTTTTTAAAAAGCAAGTTAAGGGTTTGGCATTTGGGGACATGCCTGGGATGAAGCTGGTGTTGAAGGGCTTTAATTAATGCTTTGACTATGTGTTGCATTTCTCATGCAGGGTTTACAAATCCAAGCGACCACTTCATCTTGCCCCCCTGGGGTTGGGAGGGAAAGGATAAGCGCCTTCTGTGCGGTGCCTGTTCAATAGCTCATTTATTTCCATTCCTACGTGAACATTAGCTCCCTCGTGAACACAATAGCGGGTCCCGAACTGCAGCGACTGACCTTGCTTCCAGAGTCCTTGGGTCCACATTCCCCTTTATCGTACCACCATTTGTTTTTCAGCTTGTCTAAGACGCCTGCCTCACTGAGTTTCAGAACGGCAAGGTTTACAGGAGTTCTTCACGTGGGAAATAACATAAATAACATTATATATGTTATTTTATGTTATTCAAGTAAAACTACATAGAATCGCATTGCAAAGTGACGGAGCGGAGGCCACAGAGGCTGCTTATGTCGTGCACAGGGTTAGAGACAGACATACGACTGGGACCTGCTCCATCGCTTCAGGTAATGGGCACATACTGCTGGGGAAGGCTTGGGAAAAAATTGCGTGCAATTACTGTGAACCCAAAACTATTGGCTTTCACCGACATTCAGTGGCTGACCAATAAAACACAACCAGATGTTGGAAATGTTTCCACTTTTTTTTAAAAATGTCCAAACAAGGAAGCACCTGATTACCAGATTGCCTATCCGTTGTCCTCAAACTCACTTAGCCTGACATTTGAGCAAAATATCTACTGGACAATTTAGGTGGCAGACCAAAGCTGGGAAGTTGTATATTTCAGTAAGCAGGGAGGATATAGCTCCATGGAGGGTATGATAGTTTTGATATCACCTTGATAGTTTTTATATCACCAACTAAAGACCTGATTATTCCGCTGGGTGTTTAGAGGAAGTCGGTAAAAATGGCTGACACCTGAACGTTATTGTATGCTGCACTGATTGCTGCTATACTTTTAAACTGATTTTTATTTAATTTCGTTGCATCATGATGTTTATGTTATGGATGGGATCCTTTGGTGATGGTGAGTGGCCTACAAATTTCATTAAAAAATATTAGGAAGCTGTGCTTAGAGCGCAGTATGTTCTGTGTCCCCAGGTCTATAAATCAAAACCCTGCTGAACCAGGCCATTTCTTTGAGTTGCACTGGGCTTATAATATAAAGATAATATAATATATATAATATAATTTATATATATATAAATTATTATTATTATTATTATTATTATTATTATTATTATTATTATAAAGGAAGCACCTGCAATCACATGATGTTTATATGAGTTTTCTTTCCTATGGGAACTGAATGACACTTTGAGCAGGTAGAGTGGATCATAAAATCAAGATTGATTTATTAATTTCTTAAATGTCTATTTTGCCCTTCATCCAAGGATCACAAGGTGGTTTACATATCAAGGCCCAAAAATAACACAACATACTAACAAACAAAAACATTACCCCCCCCCCCAATTATGCCACAATGCTAGTGTTCAGGGGACAACTTGTGCACCAGAGCTTGGGCCCCACTCTCACAAAACTACGGTTTCCAGGTTTCATTTGCAGAAACCACAACAATAAATCCACTTTTGTGTTGGTGTGCTCTAAAGGGAAATCATAGAAATGAGGCTATCCAGGCAAAGTCTGGCCCCTGCAACTAGCTGGCCTGCTAGTTGCCACCCACCCAAGAGTTAAAGAGAGTTTTTTGGATGAAGTAGTGACTGTAGCCATGGGGACTTTCTTTTTCAATGAAAGACTGGTGCTGTCTCTGTGGCCTACTGAAAACCTTCCTCTTCCAACAAGCCTTTTAAGGAGAGATCTTCCCCTGTATGCATTTGTGCTGCAACTGATTTATTAAATTTTTTAATTGCTTTCTGGCCTGCGTGTTTGCTCCCTTCTGCTCTTTTGGGAGGAGGGGCAGGACATAAATTTAATAAATTAAACAAAATAAGTTGGCCCACCAACCTCCAGCTCCAGTAAAAACCAGTTAGTGATGGATAAGCAGCCTAAGTCATTCACCTGGAGAGACAGGGAGCTAGTTGGGCTCTTGTGATCTTGTCTGCTGTGATGTGCTAATGTCTTCCGCTGCATGTTCACCAACCTGCTTTGTCCCTACCAACTTTTGCGTCAAGTCTGTTTTGATTTTTTAATATGTAGAGATTCCAGGTATGACATGCAAAATGACGATTTGGATTCCCAGGCCAATAAGTTGGGCTTGAGACTCAAAACAAGGATGCAAATATTTTTGCTTTGACAGTAATTGCACACATCTGGATGTTGGTCTTTTGCTTTTTTATCAATGCTGTCAAGGATTTCGTGGCAAGGAAGGAAAGAGCCCCAGCAGATGCACCAATTACTCTACATACTGTTTACCCGCTTTGGTGACATTGAGGCTAACCTTGGAGTCACCTCCCCCGCTGCCACATTCTCCTTTGTCGTACCACCATTTGTTTTTCAATTTGTCCAAGAGGCCTTGTTCATTCAGTTTTAAAACTGCGAGGTTAACAGCATTTCTTGAAACGATAAAACATATTTTGTAAGAAACTGCATAGCCGTTAAGATGTTAGAAGGAACGAGGACTTAAAAAGCTCTTTTATCCACACACTAAATAAACCTCTCATTTGCATATTATAACACACCTGTGGGGAGGAAGAAGCATGCTGGCAAACAAATTTGGGGAGGGAAAAATGCATTTTTTCCAATAGAGGGCAGCTTTATTGCTCGGTGCTTAAGTAAGGATAATATGATTTTGTAAACCGATAAAAAAAGAGAGAAGGGGCTATTCACATATTTTCAATGTGGTGATAAAGTGCAGCCAGGATATAGAATTTAGATTGTGTGCATCCTTTCCCCTACAGTTTATAACAGACAGTAAAAAAGAAAAAGACCCTTGATTCAATTTCTTTAGCAGCCAGAGAGGCATGATTGTTTGTTGTTCAAAATACGGGTATTAAATTTCAGTTCCCTTGAGCTGAAATAGTCAGCTCTTGTACTAGCATTAAAGTCTGGTGGTAAAGTGTGAATTAAATAGGTGTACAAAATGCAAGATCAGCCCCCCCTCCCCGCTTTGGTGCAAATCTCTACTTCTTGTTACAACTGTCCCAAACATAGCTGTATGATGCGCAATTCAACCAAAGTTAAACATATTGATTCCAATGGAAGGGATTCAAGCACTCCCATTAAAAACAATGAAACATAAAATGTGCTCAATTATACGTGGATTATGCCCAGATGATTAGGCTACCTTATTGTTTATGATATTATGTTAGAGGCAGTGTCACTAGAGAGAACTCACCACCAGATATCTAAGGGAGATTGCTTCATGGAATTTAGGATAACAGTGGAATTCAAAACAGAGCACTTACCTGACACCATTGGGCTTCATATTGCAACAAACTACCCTAGACTGGGCTAGAGGCTTCTGGACCCTGGCATCCATGCATGATGTCATCAACATGCACCAGGGCTCTGAGATCCATCCCTGCTCCACCCACAGAGGAGACCAGGCAAAGGTTACCTCAGTGTATCAATGAATGTATCAATGAATTCCAAACAAGACTGAACTTCAATTTTTGGAAATACAGGGTCGCTAACAATGGGAATCAGATAGCTCCTTTAGCAGAGGCTCTTGAAATCACTGTGGATAGAATTTCCATGGCACCACATTGTCTGATGCTATCTAATGCCCAGTAGACATTGAACAGCAGGTTTAAAGCACACTGACCTTGCTTAATAAAAGTGTTGGTCATGATGCAACATGTAAACATGCAAGGCAGGGATTTCATCCTCTGTCAGTGACTGTATTTTGCTGAGATTAAAGTTTAGAATTGAAGCTGTTCCAGATAAGCAAAGGAGCTCTCAAATCCAGAAACTTATTCTGGATGTACGTGTTTTGTGGCCCACAAAGAGCTGGAAGGCTCCTCATCTAAATCAAAGTTTCCAGGCTGAAGCCTATAAGGGCCTGCTGATATGGGTTAAGCAACAGGCCAGGGTACTCTTCAACTGGTCAGTACCATGGACAACTCACCACAGGCCTGGTTAAAAGGTAAGGATAGATTAAAGACAAACCAGTAAGTAAAGAGTTTGGAGTGTTATTTCTGTGAGATTTTGGAGCCAACTGTGAGCATCAGTAGATGGTGGAGGACTATGTGGGCTAAAAAGGGCTGCACCCTATTAAAGGATGCAGGCTTCAGCCTGAAGTCTCCTGCTGCCTCGTGGACATGACAGAGTGCCCCACTGAGTTGCCAGTGTCCTGGAGATGAGTTATTGGAATCAAGAGAATAAGGCAAGGTACAGGATGGAGGCACCACTTTCCCCTTGTGGCTCCTCCAGTGCAGGCACGGGGAGTGTGTGTTGTCCTCCACATGTTGGCTATCCGTTGTGCACACTTAGTTGAGATTCCAGCATTGCACGGGGCATTGGACTACTAGATGATCCTCAAGGTCCCTTCCAACTCTACAATTCTATGATTGAACTCCCATTGGCACAGCCAGAATGGCCAATGGTCAGAGATGATGGGAGCTATATAGTCCGGGGGGGGGGGCACATGTTCTCCAACCATGCTTTAATGCAGGGTTTCCCAAACTTGAGTCTCTAGCTGTTTTTAGACTACAGTTCCCATCAACCCCGACCACTGGTCCTGCTAGCTAGGGATGACGGAAGTTGTAGTCCAAAAGCAGCTGGAGACCCAGGTTTGGGAAACTCTGCTCTAGTGGGAGTGTTACTATGGAGGATATGTCCTTAGGTGGTTCTTGCTCCTAGTCCTTGCCATCTTCCATCTTGTAGAACTCTTCTCCTGATAGAGGGGCTCTTGGGCTGTTACTGCCGTACTGATTATACCTTTGCCCTGATGATGCCAACTCATTACTGTGGACCACCCTGTACATAAGGAGAGCATCTTTATGGGTCAGCTGTTTTGGAAACACATTTTGTCCTTTACTGCCTTTCATGGACATTTTTTTTGGGGGGGGGAGGGTTGTTACACAGATCCTTGCCAACTAATTATGAGGTTTCACAACTGTCTCTTAACAGAATTGACCTGAGCCTCATTTCAGTGGCTGTTAAATTTGTATTAGATAGTGAATACAGATAATGTAATTACTTGTCTGTCCCTGGAACTCAAAATACAGGAATACAGGCTGTGGTGTTAGTGATAACACTCTGCTTTTTTGTGGATAAAGCCTCTGGGGCTACGCTTCTCAGGCAATCTGACAAATGTAATTTTATACAAGTACTCTAATTATGGTTTGTGATCAAGAGGGAGAGGAAAAAGAGCAAGGCTGGACTGAAATTGTTCATTTGCTTCCTTTGTTCCAGGAGGCAACTGCTTTTGAACCAGAGATATTTATTATGGATTTCCAATTAATCATTTAGATGACAACAGTTTTGTTTCCAGTTAGTACCTCAACCCACACCTTCCCTTCCCTTGAGTATTTCCAGCGAAGTACTATTCATGGGGTGTTTTTTCTTGAAGATTTCAACCTCTCTTTCCATCATGCTGAAAGTCAAAACAAAATGCTACTCTGTATATAAGGGGTTGCATCCAGTATAGCACCAAGTTACTCATTCTGTCGGCACAAGGTGGCACTTCTCCCTCTCCTCCTGTATGCCCCCTAAATCTATTCTGCGTATTCCATCAACCCTGTGGGGCAGATTTGGGGAGGATGTGGGGCATGTGGAGAGGGAGGAGTTCCATTGCCCAAGGATAAATCCTTGTGCTGACAAGAACATGTTAGGTGGATAGCACCACCCCTTGTTCTCCCCACTTCTAATTTGTTAAAAAATTGAGGACCACCTGCATAGATAGTAGAGAATGAGACTCTCAATCTCAGGGTTGTGGGTTTGAGCCCCACTTTGGGCAACCCCCCTGCATTTAAGGGGGTTGGACTAGGTGACTTGTGTCGCCCCTTCCAACTCTACAGTTCTGTGATTTTATGACACAGTGGCTGGAAGGTATAGATACAGCGGTACCTCGGTTTTCGAACGTAATCCGTTCCAGAAGACGGTTCAACTTCTGAAACGTTCAAGAACAGAGGCGCAAAGGGCAGCCTGCAAATTCAATAGAGAAAATTGGGGGGGGGGATCTCAGCGGAAGCCTTTTGACTTCCAAGGTGTGTTCAAAAATGGAAGAATTTACTTCTGGGTTTTCGGTGCTCGAAAACTGAAACGTTTGAGTTCCGAAGCCAAGGTACCACTGTAACAGAGAACTGTCCTCAAATGATCTTAATGCAGACTGTAAGCTTATTGGGACAGGGTTCTGTCCTTTACTTATATTACTCCGTAAGGTGTCATAAGACGAGTGTAGTGGTTAGAGGGATGGAATGGGTCTGGAAAGTCTCCAGTCAGCCATGAAGCTCCCTTGGTGACCTTGGGTCAGTCACTATTGGGTCAGACTGAGTTACATCACAGGGTTGCTGTAAGGATGATTGTAAGGGGATGGGATGAGAAGAATAATGTACACTGCCTTGAAAGCATTGGATGAAAGGTGGGACATAAATAAAATAAACACACATATTTAATAATATGCAACAACTGCTCCTACTAACAGAAAATAAATTGTGCTAAATGTGTCAGCAGATCCATGTTTTATTTTACCCCCCCCCCCCCCTTTGCAGCCATGCATAAATATGAAACTATTTTAAATTAATGCTGTTCATTCTCATGTTGTCCACACTGGTTCTGGAGATGGGATGGTGTGCGTCCTTCATTCTTTAGTTATATCCCAGGGCATGGGCTGATGACACATGAGGCCACCAGATTCCTGAAACTTAACAGGTCTGGGTTTAGGCACCGCTTGGGCAGGTGGTTGCTTGGAAACCACATGCATGATGGAAGGAAGATGTAATGGGTAAGTTAGGCTGAGAGGCATAACTGTAAGTGGGGATTTGAACTCTCCCAGGCCCTAGTCCAACACTCTAACCACTGCACCACAATGGCTCTCATCTTGCACTACCAGAACAGAAATACTGGATGCTGCCTTGAATGTCTACGAATCTTATTCTAATGCCTTATAGTACCAGGATATGTCCTCTGCCTATTTAGAGAAATTATCTGTTAATTGAGAAATTTGCAGATTTACTTGAGATGGAGATTCCCATGCCTCTTAAAAGAAAAACAAAGCAAAATCCATCACGGGGTAGGGGTGGGGAATTACTCACCCTGGCCAAAATTCACCATTACGGATCAGGAAGAATAAAATTTTTCCACTTACTTTTTTGAGGAAGGTGCAAATTGCTGTTGATAGTCCTAAAATAACAATTAAAAACCCCTATAAAAGCTAATCATGAGAGGGTTATTTAGTAGGGTTATTAGCCATATCCATAGACAATTTCACAGCACAATAAGAAAAAAAATGGAAATAAAAAGGAATGAAGTAAATGAGATTTTTAAGCGCCTCTCATTGTTCTGAAATTAAGCTCAAATTGGTTATGAATCTAACCACATTGCATTCCTTGCTATATCTAACAGGCCATGTAAAAAACACTTTTGTTTCACACTGCCTTTTTAAAAAAATAGCTGTATAATTAAGATGCAACCCAGTGTATCAAAATAAGCTGCTGTCCATTTTGCAATGAAACAATATTGTTCTTCTCGCACATATTTTGCATCTGCCCATCTGGAGGAAACTTATAGATGGTTCATGGGGGGAAATGAAAATATTTTTCTTAAAACAAAACTCTCAGAAATACCCAGGGTTGTGTAGGCCCAGCTAAGTTGCTTAGATTTTATTTTATGATTTAGAACTACAGTACATAACTCTATCACGGAAGACAGTAAGCTTCAATTCAGTGCTTTTAAAGAGGCACATTGGGAAGTCATAATCTTTGAACTGAATGCCACAGAGTAGTTCCCTCAGCCCCAGTCCAAAGATAGAGCTCCTTGTAAGTAGAAGCTGCATTGCCACTTCAGTGCTGGGAAATTCCACATAGATTTTCTCCCTGGACATGCAGAGCTTCCCCACCACTGAATATGGAAGCTTCTGCACACATGGAGCTTTCCACCAGAGCCTCAGCTTGCAAACTATGACTGGGGGCTATAGCAAGTAGCTATAGGCAGCCAGTGCCTATAGGATTCTATGAACATTTCAGTTCTCTAACTGTGAAGTTAGAATGTTCTATCGCCAAGTTTTAAAGCTTATGCGGAAATGTACAACCAGCTTGCATCATACCAGACATGCAAATATCTAGTTATAGGTAAGTAGCCGTGTTGGTCTGCTATAGTCAAAATAATAATAATAATAATAATAATAATAATAATAATAAATCCTTCCAGTAGCACCTTAGAGACCAAATAAGTTTGTGTGCATGCACACAAAAGCTCATACCCATAACAAACTTAGTTGGTCTCTAAGGTGCTACTGGAAGGAATTTTTAAATTTTGTTTCGACTACAGCAGACCAACACGGCTACCTACCTGTAACTCGTACTATGGAAGGCACCACATTGAGCTGCATGAAATGGAAGTCCATCAACCTCACCAAGAAACTTGCACAGGTACAGACTGACATCTTTCTGACTAAATGCAAGAACCTGGACATTATACCTAAGGGTCTTAGAATTAAGAACCCTCTACAATCCACTGGTATCTGAAGAAGTGTGCATGCAAACGAAAGCTCATACCAGTAACAAACTTAGTTGGTCTCTAAGGTGCTACTGGAAGGATTTTTTTAAATGCAAATATCTGTCATAGAAGGTGATGAAATTCAATTAGGGGAAGAGCATTGTCCTGAATGTGTTTTTAAAAAGAGTAGCACATTGTGAAGGTTTTTCCATCAGAGCCAGCCCAAGACATTCTGCCACCTGAAACTAGGGACAAGATGGCATCCCACACACAAAGAAGCTGACTAAACTGGTCGTTAAAACTTATTTCAATAATGGCAGCATGGCAGAGTCCTCTACCACAACTGAGGGGAACAGGCCAGGCCATGTGTTGCACACAGTTCTGTCCTCAAACACCACCCTGCTGCCGTCTTCCCCCAACATCTACTGCCTGTGGTAACTGCCTTATTCTGCCTAATGGTAGGGTTGGCCCTGAATACAAAACCGTAAACAACAACAACAACAAACTGTTCCTTTAGTCCTGATAAAATGCTCCACAGGGCTCTGGTTTCCTGACACTTTTTGGGTGTCGTTCCCTTTACAGATCCCTTAACTGAAAGTATGTCACCATGCTAATACTTACCTGTTTTGTTGCCCTCTGAAAATGGCACCCCTGGGCAAGACATTACTTCAAGCTGGTAATCTCAGTTGAGAAGAGGCTTTCTAAAATTGTAAAAACTGCAACACTATTTTTAAATGCAGAGATCTTGGAGACCGTTAAAACAATGAGCTCAGCCCCCACTGAGGCATCTTAGAGAATCAATTCTATGATTCCATGATTTTATGGCTACATAGAGGATTTTTGTTGTCGTTGCAAACAGAAGAGAAAGCATTAAAGTGATCTCTGACCTTATTCATGTGAACTGCCTGCCATTTCGCTATTATCTTAGCAGGATAAATCTTTTTAAATGTCAGAATCCCCACAGTTTCCCCCTTCTGTTCAAGGCAGAATACACTTGGCCTCTTTTCCTTTTCCTTTTCCATGGCTGCTGCTATAAAGAAATATAAACTGTTTGCAGGTGCCATAATTTCCTGAGCATTTTCACATTTTAAGACCCAGAAACCCTACTGGCAAAATACGTAATGGAAAGGAGAAAAAAGATGTTAAACTTGTGCCATCAATAAAAGCAATATAATAAACAACAGTCTTGGGGATATGCAGGGTTTTTCTTTTTTTCCTAAGCCGGAACTCAGTTCCAGTCATTGCTATTATAAGAGAACAAGGGAGGCGTTCATGGTGAGTTCCAACACCTCTTTTTCTAGAAAAATAGCACTGGGGATATGACATACAAAATCGGACGAATCTATTTTGGCCATAGGGCTAAGAAGCACCTTAGCATCTTAGTGAAATAGTATAGACCAGGATTCACAACTTTAACACACACAAACACACACACGTTCACAAGATGGTGCCAATCAATTTTGATTTATTAATACTTTCCTCAAGTGCTTTAGTGCCATCTCTCTATATAGAGAATAACTTTTATAACAAGACTAACAAATTTCCTATGGTATATTCTGTGGACCAGAGTTCTAAGTCAACAATGGGTAACCCTCCATATTTGTCCTGTAGGAAATGGCAATCAGAGGTATAATTGAAGACTCAAGTTGCATTAGCTACCATAGCAGAGCAATGGCATTCGGGTTGGTTTAGACTAGAGCTTTTATTGATGGAGTGAGCTTTGCTAGATAAGTTGATGGATATTTCATTTGTGCCTCTCTGTACGGAATGCAATATTTTGATTTTAACTATTGCTGGTCTGGATTTATTGATTTATTGAGTTGTATGATTTGTGTTAATTTCTCCTGTTTTATTGTGCCGTTCTCACCAGGTGACATATAACCCTGAATTTTTATTTATTTTAAATAATAATGTGTTGGGGCTTGTTTTAATTACTCAGTAATTAGTGAAAGCCAGTCTGCACCTCTTTAAAGATATTTCTTCCCATGTTCCAGATCTCAGCTTGGCCCATAGCTGTCAACTTACAGATTTGAAAATAAGGGATCAGCAGCCAAAATAAGGGATTTTCCGGGCACAGGTATGTTCAGCTCTGAGCCCCTCTGAGCCAAAGGCAGAAAGCCCAGCCAGCAGCCAAACGAAGCCTCATCAATAAGGGACAGCAGCAGGACATGGCGCTGGGATAAGGGACTGTCCTGCCAAATAAGGGACGCTTGACAGCTATGGCTTGGCCAAACTTCGGCTTATAGGGGCATAGAAACACTCAGGTCTATGAGAAGAGGTGGATAACGACATATGATGATCTTCTTTGCTATAGATAAAGAGCCAACAAGTTCAGTGATTTCAAGTGAGCACAGTACCATTGATACAGAACTGGCATCAGGACCTAACATCCTTCGGCAGCTGCCAGGGCCCCAGCAGCCTAGTAGGGTCTACTGCTGACACCTGTCCTGGACCCGCCATTTTTTTTAAAGGCCTCTGGGCCTAGCTGCCATTTTCATTGTTGGAAATGGAAACCATAGCCCCTAGCCACCTGCTGCTGCCCGGAGCACTGCCACCCACCACCAATGCTAGATAAACTTGCCAAAGTCCACCAAAAGAGGAGGACTTTGCACAAGACTCCCTCAGAGTTGAAGATGGAACTGCCTCAACAGTCAATGTCTGAATGAGCAATGGGAAACTGCTAACCAGTTGGGATGTGAGTGGTGAGACTAGCCTACAGAGTTGCTTTTTCGATGCCTTCATTCCTGCTATTTACCTGGATGAGGTTGGGGTAGGGCAGCAGGTTTAAGGTGTGTATCAGTGGGACCAGCGACTGCCCCTGTGAATCTGGTGCTTCCACCAGTGTGCTTACCCTGCCCCTGGTTCCATTTGGACAACCACTTCCTCTTTCAGTTCTATGTGCTTTTCAAGACTCAAGATTACAAAGCACGGATCCACATGGATCCTCAGGATTTTTGCATTGGGTCACCCCAAATTCACCACCAGATCACATAGTATGGCTACAGCCTGCACCAAAAAACACACGCATCCACTGTTTCATGGGGCCGCAGTGGTGCAAAAACGTGGTTACAAAGCACGGATCCACATAGATTCTCAGGATTTTTGCATTGGGCTACCCCAAACTCACCGTCAAATCACATGTCTGTGGCCACAGCATGAACCACAAAAATCATACATCCACTGTTTCGTTCAGAATATACTTCTTCTTGTTTTACTCCTCTAAAAACTAGGTGCGTCTTATGGTCAGGTGCGTCTTATGGAGTGGCAAATATGGCATTTCTACCAGTTCTGACTTTTACCCAGATCCTTTGGAAAAGCAAAGAGTTTGTGCATCATTGCACGTACTTTTCTTCCTTCTCTCTCAATGGGTAGATTGTAAGGGGACTAATCTGTAGGATGCAGGAGAAATTTCTAGAGAGGGCAGCTGTCAGGGACTGGGCAGAGGAGGCATGGTGGAGACCACCTCCTCATTCTGACTCTTCCAGGGAAGAGGAAGAGAGTATAGATTAACAACAGTGGTTTGTGGGAGGTCACAGCTCAGAGGCAGATGAGAGGGAAAGTTGGGAAATCATGGGAGAGCAAAGAGCTCAAAGACAGAGGGCACACAGCACCACCCATAGAGGAGATAATGAGGACGTGGGAGAGAAGGTGGGTGGAGATTCACTCAGGACAACACCATTATCCAAGAAGGTAGGTTCTATAGCCTCTCTCTGTAAAGATTGAAGTAAAAAAGAACTGTCAGAAACTTTTCTTTTTCTTTATAATTTCCTGGGCAACCAGCCGGGAGCTGCTGACAGCATCATATACAGCACTAGCTCAAAAATCCAGATGTGCCCACAGCTCTAAAAGAGTTGGTGCCCACTGAGAACCCTGTCTCCTTTGCTTAACCCTTCACCTACATTTTCCTTCCTTAGGTTCATTTTTTGAGGGTGTTGCTGCTGGAGTTTGATGGAACCCTGGAACACCAAACCGTGGCTTAGGATGGCCATGCTGGCTCCCAGGGAGGAGACTGTGGGCTCAGCTACATTAGCCATGTTACAATGCTATAACAGCGTTATAAACATTCAACACCAGATGGCACTGTAGAGCACAAAACTTTGTCTACGCGATTTTACATAGAGTTCTTTCTTTTGATATAATGATTTAATTTATGACTTATTTATAGCGGTTCCCCCCCCCCCCCTGGGGAGTAGATCCAGCCTGTATCTGCTTTGCTCCTCCCCAGTCATTTTAGCTCAGTGTGATGTGGCAGCTAAGCCAATTCTAGTTTGGCTTACTGTATCTGGCCAAAATTTCCTTTGCCATGGAATAAAAATACAGGAATACTTGAAGTTCTTGTTTTAATCATATGCATCTGTTTGGATTTGTTTAAAAAAAAATGGCAAACATTTTTTGTTTATTTCTCAAGTTGATTTTTGGTGCTGAACGCTTGGCTGATAAAGCTGAGCCTGGATGAAGTTATGTTTTGCTAGTGACATAGTCCAGTAGGAACAATGCTGCTATAATAATTCACTATCCAGCCTGTGACCCCATCTCTAGACCCTGCAGGCAGTTGAAGATTGCTGAGAAATGTAACAACTTGCAAATGTAGTATTAACAGCGGCTGTGGAAAGCCCCGTATTATAATGCAGAGCTAGTTTCTTTAATAATTTGGCAACATTATAAAGTGAACACCTCTAAAAGCCTGGAGGTTGTTGTGGACTTGCCAAAAAAAGAGGACCAGGTTTTGTTCTTCCTTAAAATTCAGCATCTGTCTGAGTTCCAAGAAATAACTGTTCTTAAGATGAAAGGAATTTACTTAGATAAGACTCTCGTATACCCTCGCGGGGCTCATCTTACATTTTGTTTCTGATTACGTAATTTTTGTTTGCAACTATCATTTCCAGCATGGTAGACGTTTCTTCTGAGATGTCCCAAATCTTGGATAAAAGTCAAAACTAAAGAACTGCATGAAAGAAAATTCCTTTCACTCCATAGGGTGGTGGCCTAGGGATCTTTTTGTGATGAAAGGCCAGCCCCCACATCTTCCTCCCTAGGAGCCTCCAAAGAAGGAAGATGGTGGAACAAGGAAGAAGGCTATGTAGATTTATCCTGGCTGTTCAGAGGAAGCAGAGCAAACTCTAATTTAGAGTAGAACCGCACTGCAAGTGGGTGATTGTAGTCACTCTAAGCTCAACAGGGATTGTAGCCTGTTGCTTCCTCATCATCATCCTCCTTCCACAGATCACCCCTCTGCCCATAGCTGTCAACTTACAGATTTGAAAATAAGGGATCAGCAGCCAAAATAAGGGATTTTCTGGGCGCAGGTTATGTTCAACTTCTGAGCCCCTCTGAGCCAAAGGCAGAAAGCCCAGCCAGCAGCCAAATGAAGCCTCATCAATAAGGGACAGCAGCGGGACGTGGCGCTGGGATAAGGGACTGTCCCACCAAATAAGGGACGCTTGACAGCTATGCCTCTGCTTTTATCTCTGGAGACAACCTGGTTCAAATCCTCACTTCCCTATTGCTCCTTGGGTGATGTCAGGGCAGCCACTATCACTCAACCTAATCTGCATCGAAGGGTTGTTGCTAGGGTAAAATAGGTGTGGAGCAACTTCTGGAGCACCTGTAAATCCCCCCCCTTTTTTATCATTTTCTGCCTTCCTGTTTTTCTCTTTTCTAGAGGGTGGGATTGTGTATGTCACCTTCAGCTCCTGGAAGGAATGGCAGGATATGAACACACACACACACACACACACAAATACATATGCTCCACATCCATCCTTCCACAAAACCTAAGTTCCTTTGGGAGCTGTACATTTCTCGCTCCCCCCCCCCCCCAATTGCTCAGGCTGATCAGTTTCAGTGTGTGGCTGAAGAATGAAAACGGAGCGTTGTGGTAAAGTGGTATCTTGAATGGTCTCTTTCATGAACAGCCTTGCCTGCTCTGCCATCTCTTTAACAGGACAGGCTAGCCTAAGCTATCTCAGGTTAGGTGATTGGAGTATTTGTTCCCTTCACCCGCTCCTTCTGGATTGCCTTTCGATTTAAAAAGTGATCAAGGTGAGAGAGAATGCATTATGGTCATACATTATTCAAGTGAAACACAATTCAGATTAATCTCACTGAACGTGTTGCTATATTGGTGAATCCATAGAGCAAGTCAGGAGAAAAAAATGCTGCAAGCGGTAAAAGCTTTTGAAATGAGAATTGTGGTGGGGGTTGAGGGAGAGAGGAAGTCACATGTTTGATTTCAAAGGTAGGCCCCCTTATATTCATTAGCCAATCTTTGAAATCAAGCATGTGGCAGGGAGAAGAAGAAGAGTTTGGATTTGATATCCCGCCTTTCACTCCCTTTAAGGAGTCTCAAAGCGGCTAACATTCTCCTTTCCTTCCCCCCCACCCCCACAACAAACACTCTGTGGGGTGAGTGGGGCTGAGAGACTTCAAAGAAGTGTGACTAGCCCAAGGTCACCCAGCAGCTGCATGTGGAGGAGCGGAGACACGAACCCGGTTCCCCAGATTACGAGACTACCGCTCTTAACCACTACACCACACTGGCTCTAGCTTTATTTCTCCCACACCATTTATGACGCATTTCCAGCAATGTTCAGATAAATTATACTTATTTTTGAACCTTCATTGGGGAAAATGCCATTGTGGAATATTATTGAGCTGGTTTTATGTTATGTTTACATTTAAACTAACTTGCCCCGCCATTTTCTACATAAACTTACATTTATTTTGTGAAACTAGTCTGAAGTTCTCTTTCCCCCCATTTTTCCGCACAATGTCATAGCGTAAAATTTTATTACAGCTGAGTATAATTTTAGAAAGTGATCCTCCAAACAAAGGCACTTCTCAAATTCAGTTTAGTTTCTCATTGAAAATTTTCCGAATTGGGCAATAGTGCACTCAAAAGCATTGAAAGAAGCTGACTCATATTATTTGTTCTACTGTGTTGTTTTAAACATGAGCTTTAATAATTTCAATCTGGGTTGGACTGCACTGAATTATTATAATAATACGGTATTTTTTTCTCTGTGTTCAATCACTGTTATTATAAACTGCTTTGAGATGTGAGAGGCTTGAAGAAATAAAGGAATGAAGAAAGAAAGCTGGGGTGTTAGCTCCTGGCCATTTGAAGGAAGAAAAACTGTATCGTATTTGAATTTGGAGCTTACATACAGGAAAAATAGCAGCAGAAACAGAGGTCCCGGGCCAAACTATTTTATATTACCATAGAAGACCAGACATTATGGACCTTCTGCAACATTCCGCTGCTCCTTTAAGGATTATGGGTTTGAGTTGTTTTATTTTATTTTATTTGTTTAATTAATTTTATATACCATCCTTCATCTGAAGATCACAGGCTGGTTTGCAGCATAAAAATACAAAAGGAGAACAATTCAGGAAACACAGAGTTTTGGGGATGGACTTGCTCTTAGCACAGCAGGACCAAGCAGCTGAGAAGCTGGTGCCTCTCTCTATCTAGAGGCAAATAGCCTGGACACAGTCCAGTTTTCACTAGGCTGAGTGAATAAACTACTTTGGGGAAAACTTCTGATAAACCCAAAGCACAGTTCAATCATCTAGGTAGTTTTTGTTCTTCCCTTGCAAAATACATAGACTGACCATGCGTTAAGCAAGCCAGGGGCTAGCAAGGACTTTTGCCCTTTAAAGCCACAATGGAGGAATAGAAAAGGATAAGGAAGGCCAGCCTTCTCTAATCCCCCTTAGGTTGTACCAGTGATACAACTCTACCTATTTCTAATAACTTCCAACTCAGTGCTATTTACCAAAAGGAGCTTTGTTAAATTATAGATATTCCCTGAAGACTGACAGCAACGAACGAGGAACAGCATTAAAGTTTCAGCTACATGGAGCTAAATAAACCCTTTGAGAACAGCTACTGTATATTACCAAGACAGAGATGATTGTTCGGGGAGATTTGCTCCCTCAAACAAATAGCAGGAATATTGTTTAACAGCAACCTCCACTGGGTGCTCGTTGGTCGAACTAGAAGGGTACAGAGCCGAACGGTTGATTGTTTTCTAGCTAGGTTTAAGTGTTTGCTACTGTTATTTATTTATTAATTAAATCAATTGCATCCTGCCTCTTCCTTCCAAAAAAATATTAAAATCATAAACAATACCAAAGTCAGACTCAGCCATACACTAGAGCATGACATTCTGAGAACAATTCTCCCTTCCTTCCCACCCAATCTAATAAGCGATTCTCTCTTTCCTCATATTAGAGTACAAGAATTCTTTTGCAGTCATTTAGCAAAAACAGAAGTGTAATTGCTCCCGCTTGGCCTGAAAGTGGTTAGGGATACCGCAAATTTCTGTCCCTAATGCAATTTCCTGTTCCTGTGATTTTCTGTTCCTAATGCAAAACCTACATTGTCAGGTGTGCAAAATCAAATACCCAGAGTGCAGTAGTTAATGAAATAATTCCACATGTGGAACAACTTCTGCTCTCTCCCACACCCGTGCACACTCCATACCACCCCCAAATCTGCTCTGGAGGATTGGGGAACAACCAGAACAATTTTAGGGGTTGCATGGGGACAAAAAGAGGGAAGGAAAGTCCCATTACACAAGCAGAAGTTGTTCCCAAAGTGCAAGAAGGTATTTGTACTACACTGAATACACAATACGATAACCCTAAACTGTGCAAAGCTGCCACTGTTTGCAGAATTCAAAAGGATTTATGAGTTATTCCATCGTCAGCACACATCAACACAACTTGGGAATCAAACTGATTTGTTAGGGGTGGGGAAGATATTTGCATCTTTGTATGTAAAAGCAAAGACATGCAGGAGAATCCCATGCATGTTTACTCAGAATGAAGTCTCCTATTTTTCAGTGGGGCTTACTCCCAGGTAGGTTCGCATGGCATTCCCATCTAAAGTTGCAATCTAGTGTCCACTTACTTGGGAGTAAGCCAGATCAAACCCATTGGGACTTACTTCTGAGTTGAAACACATACAATTGTACTGTATGATGCTTCAAGTTCATGCGGTATAATTTTGCATCCCAATTCTTAAAAAGTTTATTTAAAAAATGGTGGCTTTGAAGTCAGTAATAAAGCTGGGAATAAAGACAGCAAGGTTTTAAAATATTTTATGCACAAAAAGACACTTTAACAAAGGACTCACTGAGGCTGTTTTTGACTCAGTAATACTGTCCTTTTGAGATCATGGTGGGACAGGGAGATTCTCACCTAATGTTTGGTCACCCAAAATATGACAGGCTAATCTACTCAGTGATATCACGTAATTCAGTAAAATAAAAAAACCTGTTGAGCCTGAATAGAACTTGGAGCTACATTTTGTCTTGAGGAAAACTTGGAAGCAGTGTCTGACCAGTTTGTTTTTTATATGGCCTTGATAGATATACACCAATTGTGACTATTCGGTGGACTATGTTATTCGTACAACCGTTACCTCCTTGTCGATCGAAAATGTGAAATGGGAAAAGGAAGGAAAAAAAAGAACATACCATGTCCACAGAACAACACAAAAAGAACTAGATCAGGGGCATCAGGGAAGGTGGAATACTATAACAACACATGTTATATTGTTATACTATTCCACCCACCTTAATGAAGAACCCTTTGGTGTGGCTACGCCATAGCCTTTCGAATCCAGATTTCCTCCCACTTTCATGGTGTCACATGGCTTGCGCTGCTCAATGTATTCATTCATGGTGGACTCCAGGAGGAAGGCAAACTTGCCCTTGGACTTGCGGACACGGGCAACTCCCTCAGCCGTAGTCCTAGCGAACACGGACGGGTCTGTTGTGCTCATGTACGCCCACATCTTTTCATACACTGCTATTTTAGATCTCTGAAGGAAATTAAAAGGAGATTAGATGCAGCAAAGGGACGAGGCCGCCACAGAAACAGGTCACAATGCATAATGTATCAGGAGTCAGGTGTTTATTGATCGCTCTGTGGGGGGGGGGAAGATACCTTTCGATAGCATTAGAGTCATTCGTAGGAAGATACTGCAGTCCTGACATTGCTTACCGTAGCACATGCTCGTAAGTTTTATGCCCAGCCATGTTAAAATCATTTCCAGGCAGAATCACAACAAACAGAAGAAATTATTGGAGGTGTCAGAATGACTGGCAGGAAATGTAATGATTGCTAAATGTAGCCTTTTGTACAGGTTGGTTTGATGCAAGCAACAAAATTTGGCTACACACAGGGCTGTGGAAAGAAAAGTTGCACAGACTGTTGCTGTGTGTACAGCCTGTGCATTTTCCCCATGGAATGGTCCCATCCTGTGCAAACAGCCACCTCTGGATCATTCATAGAGGTGGCCATTTGGCACTACATGGGAGCATCAAATCCACGCAAAGTAACTCTTACTCATGCTATCTAAAGGCCAATTCTGCTATTCATCAGCCCTGCTAGACCTGCTAATAAAGGGAAAAGGCCAGGAAACAGCTGAATAGCACCAACGTAGCCAGTTAATAGCTAAATATCCATTTCCTATGGTCAGATGCAAGCCCAAAATACTTGCTTGATAGACCCGCCTTGAATAGATTTGCCAAAGGCCTGTCTATGGCCATTACCTATTAACTGTCTATTGCCCAGTTATCTCCCTGGTGAACGGAAGGCAAAAATAGACTCAGAATCTGCACTAAGGCAAAAAGTCACTAGTGTAGTAGAAATAACTAAATTCACAAGGCACACAACAGTGTAGAATGCGTGCATATGCTGAGTAAGAGAAGAAATCACACCAATGAGAAAACATTGTGTGGTTCACCTGGAAGCTTTATGTAGGTCTGAGGAGCACCTGTTCAGACATATCCTTGTTTTAAGAGGCTTAGCTTTTGAGAATGGCTGATCTGCCTACAGCTCCCCTTCTTGGCTAGAGCTGGGTTATGGAACACACAATGAATCACCAACAGGCATCCTTTGAGTTTCACATTCAAACCCCACTGCAGGCTCAAGTCCTGGCATCCGGGGTGGTGGCACAGGAAAACATCCCTGTGGAGCATGTTGTCCCAAGGCCTTTTTGCATTCCTCTGGAAGTATAACAGGGCTCAGAGAGGACATCCTTCTAGAAGCTCCCTTAAGGGTTGTGTCAAATAGCTGAAACATGCATTGTTCTTATACAGTTTCATTGAACTATGTTCTATTCGTATTTAGGACAGAAGGCCAAGGGTAAAAGTGATGGAGGACACAATATAAAGTACTATTATACCATTTTAACAGTCATGGAGAATCATGGGGACTATAGTTCATTCTGGGAATTGTAGTTCTGTGAGGTCAGCACCCCAAACAAACTACAGTTCCCTGGATTCTCTAGGACCTTTAAAGTGGTACAATAGTGTTTTAAATGTATGGTGTGGGTGGAGTCTAAGAAATTTCACCACTTGCCTAACTATCCTATCAACGGCTAGTCTGTTTCCAGTGTTTAAGAGTCTATATTTAATGGCAATGAACACAATCCTGTCCAAGTTAAACACTTTCAAGTCTCCATGGCCAAGCATATAGTGGCATCAGTGGGACATAAGAGTCCTTAATTATGCCCAGCAATTTCTGTTTCCAAGCTTCTAGAAAAGGGTACGTTTTACATTTCTGTAGCAGAAAAACAAAATTAAAGTAACGTGAATAGAAAGCTTTACAAGATGAATGTGATTAGGCAAAAGACTGGAACAATGTCTCTTATAGTTACAGACTTATAAAGCAACCCTTTTGCTTCATTCCAGTGCTTGGAATTACATTATTATGCATCTTTTCATCAAAGGGCGCCTTCAGAAAACCCGTAAGCAAGAGTGAACCTGAAAGACCCCTTAGAATCACCTTATATACTCAGAACTCCCTTTCGTCTCCATGCTGTGGTTTGCAATCAGCTAGCAGAGCAATGCTATCTTAATTACCTCTGCCTCTACAGTCCCTAAGGGCAGTTCCTAGCTTGACATGTCAAGATCAATATATTTGCCACAAATTAAAATGATTGCAAACGCCAACAAGTGGCATTGGAGTTTTTTAAAAAAAACCATAATGCCAATATTGTAGGAGCTACAAGACCACAAATCTGATTTTCCATAATGCATCATTATTCTGACTGCGTTCTGAACGCTTCCCAGGTAGAGCAAGGGAAACGAGAACCTAGTAGGCATGCCAACTTACTCTGAAGAATTCTTTCGTCGACCCAGAGTCCAGTGTCCCATATGCAATTTCGGTTTGTTTGGCAAGGTCTTCTGCGCTTTCTATGGGCGAGACCATTCGCTCAACAGTCAAGAAAGCCGCAAGGTTAGCGGTATATGATGAAATAATGATGAGTGTGAAGAACCACCACACACCTCCAACTATGCGACCTGAGAGAGATCTAAACATGAATAAGATAATGCATATTTTCCTATCTCTTGGCCAAGGAGAAAGAGAAAGAGACAGAGAGACAGTGAGAGACACCATTATTACAGGAAATTTATTCGCCAAGTAGCAGTAACTGGGACTGAAACATAACAGGACCAAAGTTCTGTTTAACCAAGCTTCTCCTGATATCTGGTGCTCAATCCAGGATACAGTGAGTGTGGCGTATAAATAGAAATGCAATATACCTCTGAGTTTTAATTATATTTCTCAAATGAGAAAGCAGCTGCTACAGCGGCTGGAATTCAGTGATTTTTGAACTGCATTCAGGGGAATAACAAGGCTCCTTGCAAGTTTATGAGTGAAAGTATCATTTGCTGAAGGAAAGCTTCTTTGAAAGACAGTTTGCCCACCACGACTGATCTTCCTCTCAGTAAGGGGGGGTGTTGAATGGCTTGCAGGACACATTCTCAGTTAGTGAGCCTCAAAATACCCAGCTGTACATGGTCTGAGATGGAATCCTAAGTACTGTGCCCGGGTTCTTTGGCAGATAGGTCTGTAGAAAGGATTGAGTGAAGGTTGGAAGTTTTTAAAACAGCTAGGCTACATTACCTTCTGTATTCCAGGAACATATTCTTACGTACTTAGCAAGGTATGCTTTAAAAGAATCCAGAGTGCTCTGTATTTGTTAGGACATTGTATGAAAGAATTCAACACAAAGATGCCTGCCACATCTAAGCAAGTTATAGACAACATGGTCTATATGTATCCAATTGGATAGCCGTCAGGAAGAACTCTCTGGATTTTCACGGCAAAATTGACTGTCTTTGAAAACTGTTTACACCGCAGTACTAGATATAAACCCTTCAACTCCATTAACTTTATAAAGTCTAGACTTTATAGACACCCAAACAGACACACTGCTATCTGTTGCCAGGTTTGCCTAGAAATGAATGAGAACAGTCCTTATTCAGAGAAAGTCAGTGATGCTTAAGTCCTATTGAAATAAGAAACTGATTGGGACTCCTTTCAGGTAGTTTCTTGGACCTGGGACCCCGAGAAAAATAGCAAAATGGCTTTGTTTTTCACATAAGTTGTATGCACGTTTGACAAATAATACTCCACTATTGAAAAATAATAATTCACATTTCAACACAAAACCAGAAACTTACTCAAATGCAGTCCAGGCCTCATGAAATCCCTAGTTTTGGCAGGACTAACGTCCAGCAAACACCCTCTGCTTTGTATCCTAAGTGTGTACTCCTGTATGGAGGTTTTGATATTGATTTCTGTACAGCATAGCTGCACCCTAAATTCTGATTCTCTAATTTACGTTCCACCTGCTGCATTTTCCCTATTACCTTTGGTAGTCTGAAGAAATAATTTAAAACAATGCAGCTGTTTGAAGAATGCCTGCATTTGAGCAAGGCCAAGGGTGGACATGTGGAATGCCTAATGTTTATGCAACCAGACAGTTATGAGATAGATGGGGAGGAAGGTTGAAGATAAGAGGGAGGGACCGCTGTTGAGGCAATGGAATAGAGGCTACTTCGAAGGTAGATAGTCTAGGAATGTAGCTGTTGATAAGTGTGCATGATCAATGTCTGCATGCTATGACAAAAATGTAACCAGTTAGCTTAAAGTTCTTTGTTTGAGAAGATGTGTTAGAGTTCTTTGTACTATGCCCTGGACATCTCTTGCTTCCACCTTACTTGGTGGGTGAGGGATCCTACTGTAACAGTGAAATAAAGATTTCCCACAGCAGTAGCATTTTGGCTTAAGAAATGGAAAAACAGAGCAACTGTAATGCACTGGGAACAACGGAAAAGCATTTTCATATTGTCTTCGTATAATACAGAGGCTGCTGGCTTCATCCCAAACCAGAGCTGGCCAACGCCTGTGTTTTGGGGGGACCCATTCTGCTTTCCATACGGGTCTAGTTGCCAGAACACACAAACTACAAGCTCCTGAGTGATCATATGCCATAATAAGTTTGGTGTTACCTAGTTGTAAGGGTTTCCCAGCTGTGGCGCACCTATGCATAACATTACGTACAAATGTGCACATTTACAAACAACATACATAAATACGGTACATTCCAAATCTAAAATAGAGATGCAGCATTAAAGATAGAATATCCATAACAATTCTTACCCCCAGTACCAATCCAGGAGTTGCCAATTGGCTGTACCTATCTATTGCCATTAACACAATCCCTGCTTTGCAAAAATAAAACGAATATCCGTGAAGCTTTAAAAACTACAAGAACCTGAAACATACGAAAGGTTTAAAATGATTCAATATGGCTGTCTGATTTGAAAGGGAGACAATTACTCAGAACACGTTAATGAACAGAAGAATCAATTTTAAAACAGCAGCAAGCAAGTGGCTGTCTCTTGTGTACTGTATTGTGTAGTCTCACTGCTGATAATAAAATATACATTTTTAAAAACAGAGATATTATTTCATACCAACCTGGGAGAAATATCACATCCTTGCTGCATGAAGGCACCCAGGGAGAACCACAGGCTGTTGAAGATGCCAAATTCATTGGGAGGCTGGTCACTGGGCCCTTCTTTGCCGTCCTCTGGCTCCTCTGTGTGCCACTCATATGGACTAAACCTGCTCACCAGGAACAGGACAACACTGACCCCAATGTAGGCAAAGACTATGCACATCCAGATCTCGTAGGCTAAGGGGTCCAGAAAGGAAAACACTCCAGGTTTAGATTTCTGAGGCTTTTTGATCATAATGGATATGCCCAGACTCATAAAGGGCTTAGAAAAATCGATAACCTCCTCTCGTACCAAAGTGATGGTCAGAGGCGCGACAGCAATCTCTGCTTTCTGCAAAGAGAAGGAGAACCCAAACAACTACAGATTAGAGAAACACGAAATGGCACAAATTGTTTTGCAACAAATGGATGCATTAGACTTTTGCCCTCTTAAAACTAAAGGCCAAAATGGATACCAAAGAAAGTGAATAGGGGACTGTGTGCACGCACATGTACATGTGTGTATTCTTATTGCATAAATATCATTCTATAATCTATTATCAGTAGCATCAATGCCTCTTTGATCATGAACCTTGAAAAGTACCTGGAGCTGAAGGAGGAAGCTGAATGAAGGATAGTCTTTCTCACTTCCTCTTTCAGCTCTGTGTTCTTCTCCAGGCTCAGATTAATTCTGCTAGATCCAACTTTTCCACAGATCCCTTGAAAAAAGTAGAGCACTTCCTCTCTTTCTGTCTTGGCGGTGGTGGGAAACACCTGATCCAGGGGATGAACTGGAATGGTCTGAACCTGCCTGGAAATAGAAATAGGTCATGCCAATTGAACCAGGTTTTGTTTTTTGCTTTTCACCCGATTTTTCAAATACTCACCTCATCTTGAACTAACTTAAAGCATCGTGCTTATTTTGAACTAACCTATGGGAGGCCAGGCAGTGATCTAGCCTGTACAGCACTTCTCTGCACACAATGTACATTCCCACTGTGCTTACAAAGCACACTGAAATGTTACCTTGCTTGTGGAGCCATTTGTGTGTGCAGCCTGGAGTTCCATGGGGCTTTGGACTGCAGCCAGTGCCATCAGCTCTGAAGAGCTTTAACAGTGTCTAGAACAGAGCTTTCCAAACTGTGTGTTGCGACACATTAGTGTGTCAGCTGCAGTGTGTAGGTGTGTCATGCGAATGCTCTTATAAGGGGTTCGTTTAACTTCCGGTTTCCTAGTAAAATTGTGTCGCGAAATGATATGTCTAAAAAGTGTTACACCAACATGAATAGTTTGGAAAGCTCTGATCTCTTAAGAGGGCATGGCTCCATTTATCAGAATGAGCAAGGCTCATTATCAGCATTTCCCATTTTGACTAAGCAATAAAGAAAATATGGATATCCAATAAAAAGGCATGGTGTAAAGTGTGGAACCTCTTGAATGCTGCCGCCTGTTTCAATGGCTTAATTCACATTCTCTTTTTTCCTTCTCAAATATTCATTTTCAAGGAAGCTTAACAAAATGCAGCATAAATTACTTGAACTTCAGAGCCTCATTCTTTGTTAGACTTTGACAGAAATGGGCAATGACCTCCTTATTCATCATGCAGTGAGTGGATAACATTCCACGGCAGAAGAATGAATATTTAACCAGAGTTGACTGCTGGAGATTTTGAGAACACCTGCAAAAGGTAGCTAATTGCATTCATCACTAGAAAGTGCTTTGATGAATAAGCTCATCACTAAAGATTATAGTGTTGTGCAGATAATATTTTAGTCATCTAGATTCATCAGAAAAACAGCAAGGATCCCCTAGCTCTGCAGGACAGTCTTCTTTAGATATCTCAGTTGGTAGAGCATGAGACCCCTTAATCTCAGGGTTGTGGGTCTGAGCCCCACATTGAGCAAAAGATCCATGCATTGCAAGTGTGTTTAAAATTTCAGACATAGTCTGCAATCCTATCCACAATTACCCAGGAATAAGATGGATTTTTCTTTGGAGTAAATAAGCATTGGATTATGCTGCGTACCAATATAAAACGAAAATATATTTGAATTCAAATAAATAAATAAAAAGCTTTGGGTATTGTTATAAGGATCTCACAGCTTGTTTGGGAGTGAACCAAAAATGGGTTTGGCTAAAGTGAAGGATCATCATAGGTGGAGGACTGTTCCAAACATGACCCTGCTTTCTCATGCACAGGTATATTCAAAAGTGTAAGGACATCAGATGATAGGTCAATCGGTAGAGCATGAGACCCTTCAGGGTTGTGGGTTTGAGTCCCACGCTGGGGACTCCTGCATCGCAGGGAATTGAACTAGATGATCTTTGTGGTCCCTTCCAACTCTACAATTCTATGGTTATATGATCACCTCCCAACCATCCTCAGTCACTCAGTGAACCACCCAGTCTTCAAAGCATCTCCAGTCCTGCTCGCAAAGTTATGCTGATAAATGAAAATTCCTCTCTCCTCTCCACTCTTCCTAAACAGCAGAGCAGGGCTCCTGTCCACACAGCACAGAGATTGTTGGAACAAAACCTTTGCTGCTGAGAGAGCTTATCAGATGAAAGAGTCTTGGCTGTCTAAACATTTTGTGAATCTTTGTACTTTTGTCCATTTACTGTATTTATTTTTCCTCTATTTGAATTATAAAATGGTGATTTTCTTGAGTCGAAATGAGAGTACCCCTAAACATATTTTTTTTTTGGGGGGGAGCACTGGTCCAACCACTGCTCATTGCTGTCTACACTGATAAGCTTCAGATCGGAGTATTTTCCAGTTCTAGAGTTGCCAGGATTGAACTGGGGAGCATTTGTATTCGAACCATTATCTCCACCAGTTGAGCTGCAGCCCTGCCCAGCAATGAGAAGGTGGGGGCAGCCTTATCATTCTGCTTTTCAGTGTACACTTTCATACCTCAGTAGTTCACTTGTAGTGTCAAGATGCATTTCCATATTTTCTAAGTGATTAAAAGGGAACGTTCACACTCACTAGTTTAAATGTTCTGAGAAATGATCCATCAACAGGGAAATTGTTTTAATGTCCCTTCCAGAATGGAAATGCAATTTTCTTTCCAAGCGAAGCATTTCCTGAACATACATGCACAGTTTATAAAAGAGGTTGTGGCATGCCACCTGCATGTCTATTACAGCTTGGAGGTAATATTTAGATTATTCATCAGGGATTGTCAACATTCATATGTCAACATTTGCCAAGAAAAGAGCCAGACAGTCGCTGGGACGTATATAACCCTACATGACAACTACACTCATGAGAAGTTGATGCAAAAGTTGGCATCAAAAATAGATATGCTTACCCCATACACCAGTTCTCCCACCATCCCATTCCAGATTTTTGTGTTTGGATCCCTTGCTCCGTATTTTCCATCAGGAACAATAGCAATTTTGTACTTGATGCCAATATGCTTTGCAATTTCTGATGCCAGGTCTACACAGTATCCTTCATACTTGTCATTCCCTTCAAACAGTTCTCTGTTTTTTTTCCACATAACATATGGGGCTTCCTACAATGAAAGAAGGAGAACTGTAAAAGATAAACATATAGCATAGCCTGTCCAAAGATACATGTTATTTACCACCAGCTGTGTCATATTGAAAGGTCACATCAGATATTATTGAACTGATCACAAAATCGAAAAAAAATCCATAGGAAATCTATCTATCTATCTATCTATCTATCTATCTGATTTGCAACATATGACATACACTTGTCCAGTTGAAATCCAAAACCCAATTTAGAATTTTTTTTTAATCCTTGGGCACATAAAAAGAATGGCAAAATTAATGGACCAGTTGCTTTAAAAATCAATTTATTTACAACCATATTTTAACACCTTTGTTTATATGGATAACTTATTGACTTGTATTGGAATAATTTTACTCAAAAAACACCCCTGGGTATAGGTGCCTTTTCAATATGCTGAAGGAAGCATCAGCTACCCCTTATAATTCAATAAGCAAAATAGCACTCACTGGGTTGGATCCAGACAGGCCTTTCTCCTTCTCTTCATGGAAGGCTCCAAGATCCAGCAGAGGCTCCATGGCAGAGATAGGGGAGCCCTGCCCCCCCTGCACTATGTTTAATGCCGCTCTGGAGGATTGGCCAACCCTCTACACTTTTTCAGGGAGCAAAGAGGGCTGAAGGCATAATCAGTGGAGATAGCCTATTTCTCTCTTTCCTCCTGAGCCAGCAAATACCTGCTGAGTACGTCTCTGGATCCAACCCACCATTAGAAATGTTTTAATGTTTTTTAATTTTCATTCCCTATAGAATCAATACAAGCAGAACTTAAAGAGAACTAAAAAATAAGTAAACAAGCATGCTATTCATCCACAGCCCTGTTGATTAAAATCAACCCATACCAATTAATCAACCACACCTTAGCTGATTAGTGTGTAAATTTCAATCACGCAGTCCTCCATTTAAGTGAAACATAAGGAAAGATTGCATCCAAAGACTCAGATCTGTAGATTCAAATTCTGTTCCTTGGAGATTCAGAATTCTGTTCTTTGACTTATAGTTTAATTTGCTGCAATCAATCTTCAAAACAAACGAGGTCAACCATCATAGTGCTTCTTTTCCCACGTGTCTCATTGCTCTCTTAAAGCTGTTTCCCTCTCTTTCCTCCTAAAGCTCTCCCCCCCCCCCCGAGTTCTCAAATGTGGTTGTGAGATCATTTCTCCTTCCCCACATTTAGCCAGGGGGGGAGTTCCAAATAGTGCATTAAGTCAAAAATCCAAGCACCATGCGGAGATTTACATGGCATTTCAAAGGTACCATTTTTTAATGCAATCTGAACATATATGCAGTTGCCTTTTATCAAGTTTGGGGAGTGGTCCATATGGACCAGTACTGTCTGCTCTTAAAGGCTCCCCCATGTTCTTTTTTCAAGAGGGCATTTTGTTTTGTGTTGAACCCAAATAATGAGTTCTAAGCAGCGATGTCTGCGAATTCTGATGACAATGAAAAAGGGAGTGGAAGCTGGCAATGTTCACTGATTCATCCTATGTTCAGGATAGCGAATGCGACTGGTGGTCACCGTTGCTGTTGTGGTTTGAAACCACAGATTGATTACCCCCTCCTGCCGCCACATATGTGTTGTGTTTTCTTTGCACTGAAATGAGTGGAACGTGTAAAGACAATGGGATTACATAAGTTACACAATTAGTTATGTAAATCACACAAGTTATATAATTAATCGTGTAAACACCATTCCCCCCAGTAGACAGCAAGGTGAATTAACGTCGTTTTTGGCAGAACATGAATTGCAGTGAAATGGAAATGATTCTGCCTGTGAAAAATGCAGGGCGGAATGGAAAATTATTCATTATTACGTCATAAGCAAACACAGAAAAGTCATTGTAACCATTATAGGCAAATGGAGAAATATTTCGGGAAGATGGTATTTTCACCATGGTACATCTTCATTTTGACACTGTGTCAATGCCTTTTCTTTGTGTTTTCAATACCTTATGTAGCAGCATCCCTGATTTACCCAATGTATCAGTTCTAATATTAGAGATTTAAGATTTCATTTAAAAAGGGGGGTGTTTGGTAGTGCCGCATCACTTACATCTGATGACCAGATAAAAGACACAGAGGTTGTTGCCATTAAAGTCACCATTTGCCAATAGTTTCTCATCAACTCTCATTTGGGCTGAGCTGTGGCAACAGTTGGCAAATGTTGTGCCTTCAAAGGATAACCATAGCAGCCCCCTACATTTGTGTCCTGTCCAAATAGATTATGCAATAATACATAGCCAAAATAGGAACGACTCAGATATTTACTGGGACTATGATGCTGGAATTATCTGGAAAGCAAGAAAACTTTCATTCCGTCTTCAATGAAAATAATGGGCTCCCAAGGTCAAGATTGTGTAAACCAGATAACATTCATCATTTGGAGCACAACACTACCAATTATGGTTGTTTTTATGTGTTCTTGCGGCTTCTGGGGTTCTCCGGAAGCTTATTATGGGATTCTCAATTAAAAGATCAATAATAGCCTCTTCCTTGAAAAGTAGATTCCCCCATATTTACCAATTTTCTTCTGCAGCATGCTGATTCAGAGGTATTGTGCTTGTTCTACAGCACACTCTCAGTTCATTTAGTGACGGAGAGGTCCTACAGTACTAGCCAGGTGAATGGAGACTGTGCCCTAGAACTTATTTTTTGCAGAAATCTCCTGCAACATGCAGACAAATTGATATCAGGACCATCGACCTAGATAAACAGCCAAAGCATCGATATGGACAGGAGTTTAACTAAACAGGAGCATGGGTTCATTTTCATGGAGACACACTAATATGTATCCATATGGTGGTCAGATAATGGCCACACGCTACATGTTCAGACTGTGATAACCAAAGCTTACAGAAAATGCCAGCCCTTGTGTATGCTGTACCTTCAAGCTTGTTTCACTTTGTATTCAACTTTTGCCTTTGGAAAGAACGGCATTGCCAGTTGGGATGACCAAAAGCAACCCCCACACCCCTACAGTGAGAAGTGGTTCACTCCATTATCCCCCCTACCCCCTCATACCGTGCTCATTCTTTTGCATGTGTACACCCAACCTTTATTTGTGGAAGTTTTGAAACTTTTGCAACTGCAACTATCTCGTCACTAAAAGCAGCTGAAAGACCAAGCATTAATAAAAAAATAATAATGCATTATCTCCTTTGCAATGATATCAGATCACCCCATTTCTCCCATGGGCAATATTGCAGTTGCAGGAACTCATTCAGAGCTGTTATATCTGAAACATATCTAGAAATCCAGCAGAGAGATAGTGCCTTGCAAGACATAATACTCTGCACACTAAGGGTACTTAAAAACGTAATTGGGAGAGGTTTAGCTTTCCATGATGTGCCCATATATATTGTCTTTTGTCCCTGTAGTTAAGCAGGCTTTGAAACAATACAAAAACCTTCAAAACTTGATGATCAGAAGCAAAAGCAGGGTAAACGCAGTACCATGTTGTGTGAAGGGATCCAACAAATGATGGCCTTCATAGCCACAACTACTCGAAAAAGATAGGTTGTTTATGTGATGAATGCATAATCCATTGTTGGCTCCATCAGGCAACCCATTTTGATTTCTATTCCTGCCACACAACGGCTACAAAACTAAACACGTGTTGAGAAGATATCCACCCACCATTTGGCCTGATGCAGTTTCTAATTACAATAAAATTAGAACACTCTGGAGGAGGTTTATGAAATATAATTCCACAGGAAATCCACATTTCAAATGATTAGTAACAAAGTATGAACATAGATCATCAAAGTGGTACAAGCTTTACTTACAGAAATCTGATATCTATAACAATGGTTAACATTTAAAATATACAGCTTTGCAACAATAGATTTATCAGTGTAGAGAAATCCTTCACAAACTTGCTAGTACACAGCTCATAATTAGAAACTAGGGAATGGTCTTTTTTATTTTTTGAAAAGGAAATATATTGTCTCTATGCTTAATTTATACTCAGAAAAAATAATCTTGCACTCCCCAGAGAACTTCAAAGCATTTGCTAAAGTATAGAAAATACATTTATCAAAGGTTTGAAGGTCAGTCTTGCAAATAATAATAATCATTCGCCTTGTCATATATAATAAAACATTCCATGGGATTCAGTGGGAAGGCAATTTACACCTCTATGTTTGGCAAATATAGAAGAACCAAGTTCTCCACACTTTTTCGGCTAAGTGCTGTGCAGTCTGAACCTTTTGGTCAAGACCTGGAGCTGAACTGGTTACAACCAATGTTCCTTCTTAGTTCATCTATCTGAGCACCTACGTAGACCCTCCCTGACCTTTGCAGGCTTCTTGTATAGTTAAACAGATTAGCCTCTCCTGCCCAAGCTTGCATGGCCCAGTTCTGAAGCTGCTCTAGCATAGGTCAAAGCCCTGACAAAAGTTTTGCTATGGTCTGTGATCGGCGGAGGTTAGTTTCAGTCTCTGTGACTTATATAGGTAAAGTTGGTATTGGTGTTCTTCAGCCAGGAACTCTCCCTACCCTCCCCTTTAGCATCCAAGAGAGCAGAAAAAACATGGATGCCATGGATGTAAAAAATGGGGGACACTCATGTATTATTCTTGTCATAGTCCTGTTGCTCTGGGGGGTGAGGGATTGCTTCATTGCAATTCAAAAATGCACTAGCAAGCAGCCTGTGGCGGCAGGCTATGGGCAGGGTGCATGACTGAATTTGGAGCTTTTAAAAAAGGCCTTGGAATTCAAAGACCTGATCCAGCTCGTCTCATGTTCTTATGGTCATGCGGATTTTAAAAGAATCTCCATTTTAAACCCACATGGAAGCAGGATAGGCTGAAGTTAGTCCCATCCACATATAGAATGGGGATGAACTGTCCATCCAGATTAACAATGAGGAATGGGTTCTGTAAATGTCAACAAACTTGTTCACATGTGAACAAGCCAACAGTAGTTTAGCAGCTAGATGCTGCAGCTATTTTATAGAGAGTAGCTTGCTAAATATTCTAAAAGCAAAACGGAAACGTCTGATCCAACCAAAGCACTTCCAAAATCCCATTAATTTCAGTATCAAGAATTTAGGCAAAATATTAATTTTCCCATTCAAATCAGCTGCGCTTAAAATGGCTTGACTTCAGCAAGATTGTATACATGTTTCTTCAGCATATTTGTTTCTTCCTAACAATTGTTTTTATTCATATGCAAATCAAAGCAATTAAACACTCAGTTAAAATATGTAAAATTACAGCACAACAGTAGACATATTTACTATTAAATCCCATTGTGTTCTATAGAATTTACTCCATAGTAAGCGTGCTTACTTTGGCAGCATCACTCACCAGTTGTATACGTACTTCCTCAGAAGTAAGCCCCATTGAGTTCAACAAGACTTACTCCCAGGTGCAATGCTAAACCCACTTATCTGAGAGTAAGCTCCCCAAACCTCAATGGGGCTTACTTCTGAAGAGACATGTATAGGATTTGTACTGCAAATCAAGTATGTGCCTTCATTATATACCTTTAAGCACCAGGCAAAAACGTTCCTCTTTAACCAGGCCTTTGGATGCCGTTTTAAAATGTGTTGAGGGAAAGTGTTATTGGGTTGTTTTTGTTTTTGTTTTTATTTTGTATTTTCTGATTTCATCCTGTGAACCGCCCTGAGACCTGTGGGTATAGGGCGGTTTACAAATTTAATTAACTACTACTACTACTATTTCTTTAATCAGCCAATACCCCCAAAACACTGAATTAGCAGATAAATGCACCTGGGTGTTTCAACATATTACAAGGGAGAGAAAAAGAAGCAGAGATGTTGTCCATAATATCTGCAACCTGATGCCATCCAGAGGGTTATTCAACTAACTCAGAGCAGATGCATTGCAATTAATAGATCTAACTCATTTATGTTTATTATGTTCAGTGGATCTACGCTGAGCAACGCTTAGTTGAATACCACCCAAGGGGTTTTGCTAGTGCTAGCAAGGAACACTCATAAAACACAAATGGAATAGCTCCCTCTCTGTTCTACTCTTGAATACTAGCCTAGATGTTTTGGACTACAATTTCCATCAGTTCTAGGCAGCATGGCCGGTCAGGGATGATGGGAATTGCAGTCCAAAGCATCTGTTGAACACCAGATTGGGGAAGGCTGGCATGTACTTTCAAGAAAGGACTAATTTGTATTCATTATGTGGATCTGGGGTCTGTTATGAATCATTTTGTGGAATTATCAGGGGGTGTTTCTTGGGTCTGGGTTTAGACTAGGTGTTTCTGATTCGATACAGTTCTTTAACATCCAATAATTAATTCACATGTTTATCCTCCCCCTTTTAGACTTTGTAATTTAAGAACACGGCAGGTGATCTAGTTCTCTACATCATTAAAATAAGAATTATTACGCTACATAAATGTTAACTAAAGCTCTCTATTTTTATATCAGCTTTTTAAATAAACCCCCACTAACAGCAAATTCATTTTTTTCACATTAAGGTAAAACAAAAAGATAATCACATCTGCTATACAACCAGAGAACATATTGTTTCCTAAAAGTAGAACATGCTGATTTGGGCAGTATAGATTAATTCTACTGATATCCTGTGTCTATGAATGAAATAGCACTGCATCAAATGAAGCACAGGAACATACAAAACCAGAGGACACTAAGCAAATTGCCAAATGTTTTATTAAAGCATGCCATGCGGGAAAGAGTTACTAATAAATAGATACCTGCCTTCCAGAAACGGAGAAGCTGAGCATTACTGATTCCTAGGAACTATTTAATTAAATGTAGAAATGGACCCAGATCCAATTTCAAAGCAGTCCCAAATCCTGTTTTTCCCAGTGGCACTGAATTAACTTTCCTTTAATATGAAGAGGGAAGTGAATGGGACACGTCATTCAAAGCAGCCTTTTTTACTTGCTCGCGTTACAGAAGAAAGCACATTCACAAGATTCTGGCGATAGACCACAGCTAATTAAATGGATCTGTATATAT